ACATGGTTCCAGTGCTTCCAGAGGACATACAAAGCTGTTGAGATCATTGCCGCCTATGGGATGAGCACTACAGCTTGGAATCTGTTGAGAAACCCACCTCTGATTGGGTAGTAGTAAATACTGGCAAAATGCTTGATGGTATGAGGGGTGTTCAATGTATTCTCGGTATCGGGTTGATTTGCTATTGATGTGGGTAATTTAATTATTTCATTAGCTAATGACACTATCTGAGGGTATACATGCACAATTTCAAATAAGTGTGATCATTAGTTCCTAGTAATCCTCAGTGAAAGACGACCATAATGACTGACGCGACAATGTTGAAGAAAATTGAGCACCGTGCTGTGATTAAGTTCCTTACAAAACAAGGAAAAAGTCAAAAAATCATTCACGAAGAGATGGTGGCCGTTTACCAGGACTCTGCACCTTCATTATCTACTGTTCAAAAGTGGTCAAGTGAATTTAAAAGGGGCAGAGAAAGCATTGAAGACGACCCTCGCTCGGGCGGGACGGTTACTGCCACTACAAAAGAAAATGTGAAAAAAAATGAGAAACTTGTATTGGAAGATGCCTGAATAAAAATCAAAATGTTAGCAGAGATGACAAACCTATCCGTTGGTACCATATTTACTATTTTTCATGACCATCTTAACCTTCCAAAGGTCTGTGCAAGATGGGTGCCACGAATGCTCATGGAGCCTCAGAAACAAGTGCGAGTCGAGTGCTGTAGGGAGTTTTTAGAGCTCTGTGGTGAAGATCCATCGAGTATTTTTGACCGGATTGTTACTGGAGATGAAACTTGGGTTCATCACTATGACCCTGAAAGTAAGCAGGAGTCCATGCAGTGGCATAAAAACAGTGCTGACCCTCCAAAGAAATTCAAAGTCACTCCATTGGCCAGAAAAATCATGGCCACAGTGTTTTGGGACTCAAAGGGAATTTTATTGATCGAGTACACAAAAAAAGGTGAAACCATAAACGCAGCATCTTATGTAACCACTCTGCGTAATTTAAGAGAATCAATTAAAGAAAAAAGGTGGGGAAAACTGACCGCAGGTGTGTTGCTTCTTCATGACAATGCGCCCGTTCACACGGCGCGTGTTTTGAAGGCTGCTGTGCGAGACTGTGGTTTTGAAGAAATAAACCACCCACCCTTAGCCCGGACCTGGCCCGCAGAGACTACTATCTATTCCCGAATTTAAAAAAAGATCTTCGTGGAAAGTGATTTTCCGATGATGAAGAGCTCAAGGTGGCAATTAACGCACATTTTTTAGACAAGGGGGAAGGGTATTTTTTACAGGGAATTGAAAAGTTAATTTCTAGATGTAATAAGTTTATTGAAGTTATGGGGGATTACACTGAAAAATAAAAATTACTTCAATTTATTATTCCTTTTTCTTCATGCTGATACCAAGAATACATTGAATGTCCCTTGTAAAGTTGGATGTAGACTGGATTGTGGAGGCCTCTCCAACCCTGACAACTCCAAGTGGGAATCAGCTTTTTCATTTGTGCAACTGTGTCCTGGATTAGAGGTTAGTGATTCTGGCCCATAGAATTCAATCAGACACACTGGGAACTGACCCAGCCTGTATCTGCACAGACACACCCCTTCTCTTGCTATATCCCCCTAAACTAAATATGGTTTCTAAATACGCTGGTGATGAATTTTGCTTATTAACATTGCACTAGTATAGGCGTGCTTTCTGAGATCCACTGCAATTTCTCTGAGGAAATGGTCATGCCGCCGCACAAGCTTAATCTATGCTCTGTATCCCAGTCTATTTGTTTATCCTCACAATTCACATATTGAACAAAGTATGAGGGCAGCTTAGGAATATTTATGAGTTAATTTTAATGTTGTTCCATTTATATCTACATTTTCCTCCAAGGAGCCCAAGGCAGCATACACGATCCTTCTCCTTTCCATTTTATCCTCACAACAACCCTTTGAGGTAGGTTTGTCTGAGAGTAAATGACTGGTCTAAAGTCAGTCAATGAGTTCCATGGCTGAGCGGGGACTCTTTAGTCCCCGTCTAACACTTTAACCACTGCACCACACTGGGTCCACTGGCTGATCTTAAACTTTCTGTGATCAGGTGCAGGTGATCCTTTTAATGACCTGCAGCATTCCCCTCATAAGAATGGAAACTCCCTTGTACTAAGCTGGAGCCCTGGTCCACCTAGCTAAGTATTGTTGACACTGCCTGGCAGCTGTCCTTTGCAAGGCTGCAGGCAGGAGTCTCAATTCTGTGGGCACTGAACCCAGGACCATCTGCCGGCAAGTGCTCTTGTAAATGTGCCCACAGAATGGGGCGAAGGGTTCCTGTGGCAACACACTCCGCCCAGCTGCACTTGGGCAGCTCTTTATTATTATTATTATTATTATTATTATTATTATTATAACATTTCTATGCCGCCCCTTGCCGAAGCCTCTTTGGGGTTGGGGGACACAGAACTTCACACAAGTGAAGCCTGGGGAAAGGGATTCCCAGATAAACAGCTGTGTATCCCCTAACACCATTACTTTCCTTTCTCTGGCTGCTCTTTCTCTGGCTGTTCATCAACCCCGGCCTGTCACAATGAATCAAAGAATCAATTTACCTCCCAACTCTCTCCATGCCCGGAATCATTTATGAGACGTCACAGGGGCCCCGCGGCAAGCACTGCAATAACAAATGAACCCCCTTTCTCCTCACTTATGTCCTCTGATCCCTGCCGCCTTGCTTCTACTACCTTCTTCCCAGAACTGGTAGGGGGAAGAACCCTAGAACCCATCTTTCCACCATTTGAGCACTGGGTCACGCAAATTGACCGTCTGATCTGACCTGCCACTCTGCTTCTGGCAGCAGTCTGTCTTACATGAGACAGTTCGAAAGCAAGACACAAAGATTACCACCCATTTGCCATTTGTCTTCATGCTTTATAACTGGACAAAAGTTGCATCCGCAAGTGAAGATTGTTCCTCATAATCATAGTTAATCATGGCCATTGGTAAACCTATTATTCACTAATTTCTCTATTCTTTAAAAAAGCATGTTAGCAAATATCAAATTATCATAAGATATTTCAAAGCAACTCAACCTTTTTATTTACCCAATATTTTAATGTTAATAGATTTTAATTATCTTAATATATAATTAACTATTTTTAAATAATTATTTTATTTTTATTTCAGTTATGGGATATTTAGCTTATTGTTGTTTGGGGTATTTCTGTTCTTTATATCATATTTATTGATTTTGTTGTGAGCTGTCCAGAGACGAAAATGATTGGATGGGCTAGAAATATCCCAAATACATAAACTCTTTGGCATGTTCTGAGCACAGATTAGGCTTGAGAAGTAGCCTGTATCAATGGGAGAAGGGGCTGATGCTGATGGAGAGAGGGCACTGACACGAGGTGAATAAAGTGAAAGGTGAGGGCTGGACAGCTGGACCTCCCCTGATTGCTGGCTATCACCTTGCTCAGTTCTCACCAGTTGCCAATAATTGGGCTCCATCTCAGAATTCCGCCATTGCAGGCTGTAACCTCTGGGGCAAGATTCTTGCTACTATCCTATTTTCTCTAACATCCAGCATACTGTTGTAGTACATTGCTACTAGCATACTACTGGAACCAAGTAAATACTGTTACTACAAGTAATAGTAATGATATACCACAGAATATGTTAGTATTACAAGTAGTAACAGCAACAGTAATAAACATACAATAAGCAGTAGTAGAAAACAGTTATTTAGTTCCAGTAGTATGATGTGCTGCATTGAGCCAGTAGATGATGAGCTTGATGGTCTTTAGAGGTCCCTTCCAACGACGATTCCTTATTTGCTCTAGTAGCATTCCTATTCCTGTCCCAAGCATAAGAGTGGATGGGGTGGCTGAACGGAGGGCTGCTCTGTTACCACCTAGCCCTGTTCCTCTACTGGCTCCCACCTCCTTAAAGGCCTCTAGCTCCATCTGCTTTCTGATGGCCAAATATCCAACTACAGTGTTATTTAACAAAAGCAATTCTGACAGTAGATAAATGGATGGGTGAATGAAAAAATGGTCAGAGTTTGTGGAGATGGATGGATGGATGGATGCATGGCTGGATGGAGCCCCCACCCACCCCACTAAGGGAATGGCCAGGGCCTGGAATGGAGGAACTGAGAGGAATCTGTATGGGGTGATGGATCACACAGTGGAAGAAGACAAGACAGGCCGACTGGGGGTCGATGGACGTCACCATGCCATAGGGACGCATGGACAGCAATGCAGGGAGGTCAGGTGCATGGTGTCCGGGGAATCCTAGGAAGGCAGAGAGATCCTGTGAGGATAGGATGCGGGAGACTGACGGGGGGGGGTGGCTAGGCATAGGCTGGAGGCGAGCCAGGGTGTGTGGTGCTGAGGGAAAGAAAACTAGACCGTAGCCGCGAGCTAGGAGGGGTGCCGTCGGTATTGATCAAACAGAGGTGTGCGATCTCAAGAGGTTCAAGATACCGAAGGGGGCGGTGGGAGTGTAGGGGGATCATCGCGCCAGTAACAACTCAGGCTCGGAGTCCCCTCCCCGAAGTCATCCATATTTATAAAGCGCCGCGTCCACCCTCTCTTCCCCTCCCCTCGCGTCCCCGCCTCCCTCTGGCAAGCGGAGAGAGGGAGCGAGCAGACGAGACGGCAGACGAGTGTGCATTTCTCCGCAGCTGCGACAGGCGGCCGCTCCGTCCCGCCCTCCTCCTCCGGGGACCCCGCGCGGGTCACCGAGGGAGCGGGGAGACACAGCCCCTGACCTCCTGCTGCCCCAGCCCGCCCTCCCCGTGTTCTTCTCGCCCGCTGCCATGCCCCCGGGGGGTTGAATGGAGGCAGCGACCAGAGGGCACCTCCACCCTCCCTGCCCAGGGCTATGCCAGGGTGGGGGGGCCGGGAGGGTGAGCGACCCGCCCCCCCACCTGTAGGATCCCAATGAGTTGACCCCTCTCCCCAATTGCGGCCCCCCTCGGTCCCACCCCTCGAGCGGCGTCGCCATGGGATGTAACATGTGTGTGGTGGAGAAACCCGAAGAACAATATAGGGTCATGCTGCAGGTAAGGTGGGGCGGGGGCAGCAGATCGGTTGTGGAGGGGACAGACACAATTGTTGCGGGGAGGGGGTCCTGTGGCCGGGCAAAGGGACAGGGGAGGTGGGGGGCGGGGTAGGCATGCATAGGGCGGGTTTGTGGGGATGGGCTGGGGTGACAATCGGGAAAGATTTATAGGGTTAAAAGGCGGAGGTTGAGGGATTTGGAGGAGAAGAGATTGCACGCGCATGGAAGGGAGACTGAGGAAAAGGGGGCATGTGGTAAAGGGGGGCATTGGGGTCGTCTGGGGACAAGGAAAGCAAGGCAAGGTTAAAGAGAGTTTCCGTGGGTTCCTAGTTGTGGGGGGCGGGGTAGTGGTGGAGTAGCTTTTTGGGACGTGAGGAGTCCTTTGGCTGCGAGGAAGGAGAAAGAGTGAAAAAACCGTGTGCTGTGTTATAGGGATAGTAAAGAAAGAGGAGAGAAGAGGTGATCTGGAATTTTTAGAATGGGGGGGGTCACACCACAGCGGGAATCCCAGTTTTTCCAGGGTGCAGAACAGAGGCAGGGAGATTGGGAAGAGGATTCTGTGGTATTAGGAGGGTGTGTGTGGGGGTGATGCTGCAGTGGGGGAGGGGAGCAGGTACCAGATGAGGGGATGTTGCCTAGCAACTAGTCTCCCCCTCTTTTCCCCATAGCACACAGTGCCTGAAATAATGGGGAGGGGGCTTTTGAAAAAAGTGGGGAGAAATTGGGCGGGATGGGACTAAGCAGCCAGGGAGAAAGCAAAGCATTGGAATAGGTCTGAGAAGGAACTGACTCGTATTAGCCAAGCATTCATTCACCTCTTCACACCTATTCCGCCTTCTGCCTCTTTTTCTGCCCTTCAGGTATCTATTTTCCAACTCTTGCTTCTCCCACACTCTTTTTGTCTACATTTTCATCAGTCTAATATCCATTCATTCACTCATTCATTCTTCTGTGTGTTTGTGCGCACGCTTGTGTGTGTGCATGTGTATGCGTGCATGTGTGACTGTGTGCTCTCTATACAATTATTTATTTCATCCATTCAGATCTCTTTCCATCCCACTTGCTCAGCCCAAATCACAAGTACTAGATATAAAGGCAGGTTTCCAATCTCTGTTAAGCAATAACTACTGGTTTGTGGCACAGGGACTAAAACAAAGATAAAAGGGCTTTGGGTGGAAGAAGGATGGTCTGGGGAAAGTATCTTGTGATTAGGTGTAGCAGATATTTTTGCATCCTATACACAATATGGAAAACTCTATGAATTTTGCAGTACTTTCTTGTAAGTGTGCATAGAGAATAGGCACCTCTCTGTGTTTGTGGTTCAAATGTGCAATGTTAAGTATTACATATTTCCATTGGCATTCAGCAGTGCTTATGTGGCTATATGGTTGTGAGTGTATTGGCACCAATATGCAAGTCAGTGTGTGTGTTACACTGGCTATTCAGACACATGAGTTTGTATAGTCTTACTGTCTCGTTTGTGCAGTAAGGGGAAGGCCCCCTTTTCTGCTTTCTAATTCAGATATGTACAGTACACAAGTGGCAAATAAGCCTGTTATTTGAAGTTAAAATTTTCCCAAATTCATGGGTGTATTCCTCTGTGTAAATGCTTCATAGTTGCTCGTAGTATTTTCATACACTATGATCCCCCTAAATCTACTTTAGTGTATTCAGTATATTCAGAGAACCTTGGCTATGAAGTGGTATAAAAATGAAATAAATAAATACAAAATCTTTGATGCCTGCAAACTAATATTCTATTTTCTGTCAGTTGACACATATATACCCTTTTGGCTGCTACTTGAACATTGTGACCACTGATCTAGCAAAGAGGCTCTTGTTATAATCACGAATTGGAGGTAGCCACTTTAACTGAGTTCATCCTCAAAGTTTCCTGTTCTTTTGTGCCATGTCAAAGAACTGTCCCCTCTACCCTGGCAATCCTGTATTTAGGGCTACCTTGGGAATACCTTTTGTAGTTTCATTCCAATTGTTAATAATGGAAGACAGATTTCTGTCCAATAAAGCAAAATGGTTTGGCTGATAGTCTCATTATAAAAGGCTTCTTTTACAGAGGAAAAGCTGTTATTAGACTGCTATGAATTGAGCTCATAGTTCTGAAATGGAGTTATTCTCAGACTCAAGCTTGCAGGTCCTTTCTGGCTTTGTCTCTTTGTAACAAAAAATGTCTATCATTATGGGAGATGGATAGGGGAACAGGGAGGTTTTGTGGGTTGCCAGGTGAGAGAGCCAGTGTGGTATAGTGGTTGCTGGGAATCAAGCAGACTGAGTTCTAGTCCCTGCTCAGCCATGGAGCCAGCCGGATGACTTCGGGCCAGTCACAGACTCTCAGCCCACTCTACCTCGCAGGGTTGTTGTTGTGGGGATAAGTTTGAGAGTGGGAGGAAGAGAATGATGTAAGCTGCTTTGAGTTTGTTTTAAAAAGTAGGGTATAAATCTAATAAATAAATAAGCCAAAGGGCACTCAGTCTCAGTTTACCTCCCCATCTAGCTTCAGACCTCTTGATTTTCCAACAGGTAGAAATGCCCTTGCTTTTCTTTGCATTGCGCCATCTCATCTCTTAGTAACATTGGGGTGTGACTAAAGGCACTGTGCTTTTATACACACGCATGTGCATATACACGCACTCACACACATTTCTATCTATTTAAATGGTTTCAGAGTTTACTCAGTAGCATACATTTCTAGTTTTCCAACTAAGCTATAAGCATGGTTATTACATTTAATCAGTGGCAACAAAAGATTGATTTTTGGAAATGAAGATCTAGATTAAAATTTATGTCAACACAAATGTTTAAATTAAACTTTTGAAGATGCATATTGTTTTTCTTTCTTATTCTGTTTATGAGTTACACAATAACAAAAATGATCTGAGATATCAAATATAACAAATATAATAGCAAAAATCAATAAGGAAGACTTAGTTAATTCAAGCTAAAATCTGAGAGTGAATTAACTTGGCTTCATTTACTAGAGGTTTTTAAGGTATTGAATCCAGAGCATGGGAAACCAAACCATAAAAGTAGAAAAGCACTGTCTGGACAAATTTCTACTTCATTAAACAAGCAAATTATGGAAAGTTGAAAAGGACATCTTTGTTTTCACACATGTGACAAATGAAGGTGATTGGAGAAAGCAAATAGCAAGTTTCATAAAGATTTAATAAAGATTTGAGTCCTGAAATAATGTATTAGCACTGAGTTCTGAATTAATAACGGTCTGAGTGTAAGAGTTGCTCCTCAAATTAGGATTTTAATTGGTACACTCTGCCTATCATAGCAGAAGTCATAGTCACCTGTACACATTCCTGAAGACATGTTTTTATCATGTACACTTTAACAAACATCCAGATATCACTAATACGTTAATATATTGTGCACAATTTACTTTGCATTATGATGCAGTATTTGCCAGTATTTGCTGCTATCTTCACAACATGCATAACTCGACCAGTGTTTATTGTTATTTTATATATTGCTTTCTGAAACACACAGAATGCTTTCTAGTCTTTATTTCTGCTTTGCAAGAAAAAGAGAAGTAGATAAAGAAAAGTGACTGTTTCTGTTTTACAGGTGAGGGATAGATTGAGAGAGACTGCAGGACATGAAGTGAGTTACCCATGACAAAGTTTCTCACCTGGTCATAATCAAATATCTTGGTCCGCATCTGGTTCTGACAGCAGACTTCTTATTTTGGAACCCCAGGGTTGCAAATTGTTCCTGCAAAGATCATAGGTCATTTGTTTTCATAGTGTAAGAGACTTCTGCAACTAGTTGGTAAGGGAACTGTGTGTTTTTCCCTAGGTTGACTTATCCTTGCATGTTCATGATGACTATCTTATCAAGTGTTAGACCTAATATTTATGACTGAGCAATCACAGATCAAGTACCACAGACAGAATCTCCTTGTACACTCTGCTTTTTTTTTTTTTTTTTTGGATGGAGTCAGTTAACACATTCAGCTATGACTCATCAAGCATCAAGCAACTGAGTGATGAAAAATCAACACATGTGTGAACAAGTTTCTCATGCTCCAATATGCTCTGGAGTGGATGAAGAAATAGTAGTCTCTAGGCTCTTCCCAAACAGGATAAATTATGATCCTCCTCGTCATTCCCCCATGAGCACTGGGGAATGTCTGTATGTACATTTGTTGTCAGTTGACAACAAGAACAAGATGATATTCTCACACATTTTGCTTCTAGAATTGTGAGTTTCACCAACTGAGGAATTCACTGCCTGAAGATGCCACTAGCTTAGATGTTTTGCTTTTTAAAGGTTAGGCAAATTCATGGAGGAGAGATCAAGCAAATGGCTATTTAGAGTCAGTATATTTTTGAATATCAGATATGGAGACAGACACAGATAAGGAATGTAGCCTTCAATTTGTATTTGTGAATTTTCTGGAGACATACATACATACAGCCTGGCTGTAATTTGAAATAGAATGTTGGACTTGATTGACCTTTGATCTGAAGGTCTCACCTACCCCAGATTTCAGGAGACTCACTAGGACAAATTTTAAGTACTACTGCTATGAAAGATGCTTATCTATTTTAATAATTTTCATTTTAATTTAATAAAACATTTTTATCCCATCTTTTCACTAAATGTCTCAAGATGGCTTACTTTAAAGGCATGTTTATATAAATGAGTGACTAGTGCTTTATATTCCAAGAAAGACATATATTTTTGTACTTGTGCCTTATGGGGTACTGATCTAAACACAGTATTTATTGTCTGATTGAGGGTGTTAGAGAATGGCTGTCTCAAATTGTTCCGAAAGAGAAATGATGAAGAAAATGTCTGTTGTATTGTTTCTCCGAGAAAATTTAGCTGGATGCATAACCACCCCAAAAATAGTGAGCATACCTGTAAAAACACAGACAAACCAAGTCAGGCACAAATTTGGCTACATAAATATCTACACTCTCCAAATATGAGTCGTTGCACACATGGTCAATGCTGGACACAATGACA